TAGGAGTTATTTGGGTTCCACGCGCGTGACTTCATTGTGCAATCAGCGCTGACGATGCCAGTGTATTTGTAGAGTATGATAACACTGCAGAGCATCCAAGAAAACATTATCAATGGCATACTACAGGGCATTGTAAAATAAGGGCGTAGAGAAGGACTGGATGGAAGGGGCGAGAGGTGGGAGTGGCTTCACAGGGTTGTGCATAGTAACCTTGACATCAGAGGTTTGTAGAAGCAATCCCTCAACTTCCTGGCAGGGAGGATTGCTTACACAGGGGTGTGATTAAGTGGATCTTTGAAGAGAGCACTCAAATGTCAAGTGATTTGACGTGTGCAGTCAGCTGGAATTAGAAGTTAATTAGAAGAAGCCAAAGTCAGTGAAGTCTCTTTGGGTCTTTGTGTACTCGGATATTAATTGGTCTGTTAATCACCGCTCACATCTGCCAACAGGACTACGAGAAAGCCCTCTTCTTCCCCTGTAAAGCAGCTGAGCTCGTCAATGACTACGGCAAGGGTTGGAGCCTCAAGTACCGAGCCATGAGCCAGTACCACATGTCTGTGGCCTACAGGAAACTGGAGCGCCTACCGGATGCCATGGAGTGCTGTGAGGTATGTTTTGTTTTTTTTTTGTTTTTTTTTAATAATCGTCCCATCACATGATTACTGAATCATCGGAGAAAATCTTACAACGTGTGTGAAGAATGTCACAGTTTTGGTTTCCTCACCAAGTCTCAGGCCACTGACGCCAGAGCTCAAGATATAGTAGACGTTCTGCGGCTGACAGGTGCAAGTGCCAGTTGTTCCGGTGTACGATGGGCCTTAGACCGCGACGAAAATATGTTCACAGGGCCACTGGTTTAGGGTGTTAATGAAAGAGGTCGGCTTTAGTCCACACTCTGTTCTAATTATGTGCCGGGGGGTAAAAAAATAACTTGTTGCAGTTGCCCCGGAGGGTAAAAGTATAGTAACAAGTAAACAGGATGTATTTCAGCTTTATTACATTTGCTGAACACATTTAGCCGCAATATTTTTACACCGCTTGTCATTATATAACACCAGAGTATAAGAGGAGTCAACAACGTCTCACATTCCCCATCACCTCTCACTGTGGCTCCATACAAAATAAGCCTTTGAATAATATATAGTGAACATAATCGGGAAGTATCCGTTTTGAACAACCAGGCCATTAGTTTGTATCTGTGAATCAGATTTCGTAACCCTTCAATAGTAGTTCAACGGTTTAACAGCACTCTGGTGTTTCTATCGACGGGGTTTATTTTATTATCTTGTGCATCAACAGGAATCAATGAAGATTGCTCTGCAGCACGGCGACCGTCCACTGCAGGCTCTCTGCTTACTGAACTTTGCGGACATACACCGCTGCAGGAAGGACACTGATGTAAGGTGCCACCGTTTGTGCAACCTCATTTTGATCTTTTTAATTTTGTCAATGGCCTATTCGTAACTTCAAAGTGTCAGGTAAATTTAACAGCGCACAACAAATGTATGTGTGTGTTCTTACCTTTCCAGAAAGCATTCCCTCGCTACGAGTCTGCACTTGGTATTATGACGGAGATTGGAAACCGTCTTGGACAGGTTCACGTTCATCTGGGTGTTGCAAAGTGTTGGCTTCTGCAGAAAGATTTCGACAAGGTAGCTGTGAATATATTGTCCATCAACTTTGATAATACAATACCTAAACACAGAGAACTATCTTCATGCAGCAAATGAATCAAAAATGCAGTGTAAATTATGACGGTCCCTCTGGCACGCTTGCTCTCCTAGGCTCTGGATTCGCTGCAACGATCACAGGAATTAGCCGACGGAATGGGAAACAAGGTATTTGATGCTCTTCAATTTCGTCTTGCGGGACAAACAGCTCAGGTTTTCTCCTGATATCACATATCATGTTGACAGTCTTTTTTTCCTGTGTGTGTCTAAAGCTATGCACGCTGAAGGTCCACTGCCTTAGTGAGGGCATTTATCGAAGCCAAGGTCAGGAGGAGAAGCTCAGAGAGCAAGTGGTAAAGTTCCTGCAGTGTGTGGAAGAGCTGGAGCTCTACTGTGGCATGTGTGGGGAGTCCATTGGGGACAGGGACCAAAAGCTGCAGTCCTTGCCCTGTTCCCACATATTCCATCTAAAGTGAGTCATCTGCTAAATCCTTTGATTACCCTTTTCTCTCACGTTTCAGAAATGATAAATACTAATCAATAGTCAATTACTTTTTTTTAACCAAAAGCACTGAAAAATTGTAAACAAATACCATAAGATTCAACGATAATGAGGCTCCGTTACGATATAAAATCTAAATCTACTCCCATCTAAATATGATTTAACTGAATCAACTGGACTAAAAACAATTCCATTTTCCTGAGCTTATTTGATGGTAGGGATGCTCTAATAACTACACTGATATTAGTAGTGGGCCAAAGCTGTTAAAGTGACACTTTGTTTACTTGAACAAATGGAGTGTTTTTCAATTGAAACGTGCTTTTGGTTTAAAAGCTCCACTCACTTTCTGTTCAGCAGTCTATAAACTATTCAGAACATTTAATTTTCTTATTTTTTTATTTAAGGTGTTCTTCATTTTTAATTTACTTGTTCTAAACTGTTTTTATTTGTTTTTCTATTAATTGAATCCATAGTTATTAGTAATATTAGTAGTATTATTTCACCATCTCTCTCTCTATATATACTGTTTATGGCATCACATATTTTTCCTTCAGGTGTCTGCAGACTAATGGAACAAAAGGTTGTCCTAAATGCTTCAAATCCTCCATGAAACCTGGATTTGTGTGATTTGGAATTGGTGGTTGTGCATTGGATCTGCTGACACAGCATGTGACGCCTCAGAGGCGCCTGACTCTCTGAGCAGCAGGCAGCCCGAGGATGTGCCAAAGATGAGGAGTCATAACACTGATCTTTGCAGTGGATGCTGAACAGAACCAAGAGTGTCCCAGAGCACAGCTCAAAGCATTCATGGTCAAATAAGTGACATCAGTTCGTGAGTGACTTTTACCGACTGAACTACACCTTAACAAGTGGCGCTAGAGTAGAAAGAAAACACACTACTGTGTGTGTGTCTGGGAAAGGTTGGTGTACAACACAAACACACCAAGAGTTTCAAATTTAAGGAATTTTCCTAGTTTACTGCATAAGAGTTATTAGCCAAAATAAGACATTATGAATATTTGGAAGTATTCAGCAAAATTCTAGTCTTTAGGTTCGTTTCTTCAAATTCTTCAAAAACGTTTTTCTTCCACAACAGTTGACAGTTCTGTTGTGTTCAGAGCAGAAGATGAATTTGTGATTTCGTATTTAGCATATTTATAATTGTATTAATGTACATACTATTCTCGTATAAATCAGTTTAAATCATTTGATTTATTTGAGGTGTTTTGTAAAAGCTAAAACTAAAATCTCTTAAACGATCCGAAATCTATGTCTTCATCAAACTACATGCAGCTGTTTTTTCATTAACCTGTAGTAAGAGGGAGAGTTACAGTGAATTAACTGAGCTGAGTATTATTTACAAAACCAAAAATCCAAAAAAAAATAATTACCTGTGTAACCTTGTAATTGTGTATTTATATATTTCATAATTGTTTGATAAAGTATTTCATAATATGTGATTTTTATTGGTTTTATTCCTTATGTGTTGAATTTAAATGATTTTGTGATTGGGTATAAAGGCCATGTTAATCAAGTACAGTGCAACTAAATAATATTTTTTGTTTGCTAGACATAATAAAGTGCCCTGAAGGAAAGAATCTTACGGGTGAGGTACTTTCACATGCTCATTGGAAAGTTACAGCCAGATGTGTAACCGTGATGCAAAAAAAAAAAAATTCACCTATCGTATTATACTGTGGTTAAAAAAGATGATTGCGGTGTTTTAAATATAAAGCGGTATTTAAATTTAACATTATTTGAAAACATTATATACTGTGTTTTACCATAGTACCACAGGAACAAAGGCTATGAAGTAAAACATGATATTTTAACATCCAGATTATCAAAGGTGGCATTTTGAGAGAATCACACAGAATAGCTTTGCTTCAACTTTTGTCGTTTACTCTCTCCTTGTGATGGGGCAGCTTACACCATGATAGAGAGAGAAAGAGAGACACACAGACACACACTTACCTTTAACTGCACATGCACTTCTGTTTCTCAGTTCAGAAAAAAAAAACATCACTTTGACCTAAGCGTTAACTGCGTATAAAACAGTTGTTGTTCATTCAACGTTTCCTCGACTGTTTGTTCTCGTCTTCCTCGGCCTATATTTTAATAAATATATAAATATTGTAGAGCAGGACAGCCTCTCAACTTCAACAGATTAAACTACCTCTGTTTTCAACTCTTCTCTCCAGAGAATTTATGCAGTAAAAACACACCGTGAATAATGTAGTATTTTAGTGTATTTGTAGTCCTCGTGTAGATAAAAATCAATGATTTACAACTCGACAAAACTGCATTATTATGTGTATGCTGACTATGTTCAATATAAATGTTACTGTGTTGACTATGGAGACATTTCATTATGGAAAAATAAAGCACACTAAAGGTGAATTTTGTCAGTGCTGATTTACTGCCCTCCTTTCCTTCCTAACCTCATTCCTTGGACTGCATTCAGCCCACAAATCAATTTAATCCCGTCTGCGGTGTCTTCAAAGGCAAAGGGAGATTTAGCCTATGGCACCAAGGGCAGTTAGCCAGAGAGCTATCAATCAGGGGGCACTATGGACTCCAGTAAAGGAAAAAGAATTGGATTTGATCTTGCTTTTCTTAGTACATTGAACATTACAGTTAAAAACATACCAACATAAAAACATGACCCAGTTGGTGGAAACATCTTTGCCGCCCTTAAATCTAAGATACTTGACCAATGCTGTCCTTCATAAAAGAGTGGATGTTTTTTTTATATTCTCTTGCAGATTGTGAGCTTAAAGACATCTTTACTACTTACTACTGTAGTTTCTAACTTTCCATGTTGACATTAGCAGAAATGTTTAATCTTAGCTTAACATGGATCATAACTGTCCAGCAAGGCTTTGTTAGCATAGACGTGTTTGATATCTATGGCCATGTAGGAATAATTGTGTCAAAAGTGTTGTAGAATGACATAGATAGTTGAGACAAACTATGACAAATGTAAAAATATGGAAAAGCAATCAACAAAATCAACAAATATATAAGCAAATAGTCTTCAAATAGGAAACCTGCCAGTCAACCTGAATTGCTAACTGTTCAGCTAATAAAACAACACCAAACATAATTACTTAATTATTTACAAAAATCAACCTGACAGAAAATAAGTCCAGCAACCAAGGTAGCCAAAATGGCTACATGTTAGCAAAGTGAATGCTTATAGCCCACAGAGGTTTATCTATTTATCCTCTATCCTTTTTAGGATCACATATTTACACTCACATTCATACTCACATATTGTCCATTTAGAGTGAACAACTGAACTAATCCAGTATGGGTTTTTTTTAATTGTGGGAGGAAGTCAGGGTACCAGGAGTACATGCAAATCTACACAACTAGATTCCATGTTTGCTGTAATACCTTTGCTTCCTTTCCTTAATGAAATGTATTTACCTATATGACTTACTAACCTGGCCCTACAATAAAAACACACACAAATGCATACACAACAACCTTCTAAATTCGGTGCTTTTAGAATACAGTAGCAACTGTCACATCTAACCTCTTACACTCTAAACAAGTCGTACAAGTTTGCCAACTATTTAACACTTTGTTTTGTCACCGTAAAGGAGGAGCAGGAAGAGACGGTTTGCGGTAATTCACTTCACAGAAACTCTGCGACCTGATGGCAGCGACGTTTGTACACCGTGAGGGTGATTTGTTGTGTCCACAGTGCTCTGGGATCTACTGTCTGCCCGTTCTCCTGAAATGTGGACACAATATTTGCAAAATTTGTCTACAGAAGTTCTGGAAGTGGAAAGGGTCTCGAGAATGCCCCGTGTGTCGCACTGTGTCGGTCCCAGAGAGGCCTCCTATCAATTTGCCGCTAAAGATAGCTGCAGAGGAATATCAACTGCAACAGAGCAGCAAGGATCAAGAAGTTTGTTTTTTTCACAAAGAGCAGTTGACTTTGTTCTGCCTGAACGATGACAAGCCCATCTGTTCTGGATGCCAGATGTCAACGCAGCACAAAGTTCATGAATGTTGCACCTTGGAAAAGGCTGCTCAACAGAAAAAGGTAGATAGAATAAGAAAAACATAACCAGGTGTAGTACTCCTCGATGAAGGAAACAGGATTCCTTCATTTATCTGTTGGTGTTTATACAAGTTTCAATGAGAGCAGTTCCCTTAAAGGCAGTATCCTTCACTTAAAGAAAAAAAAGTTTCTCTATTAGCATTGGTAAATTAGTTCTTTGATTTTTTTTAAATATCATTGACTTACTTACATCACAAAGAGCTCTGAAAAATTTGAATACAACTATTGAACATAATTTTTCTTCTGTGAACATTTCAGACTGAGTTTTCAACCATGCTGGAGTCTTTCAGAAAGAAACTTAAAATGCTGGAAAAAACAGAGGTGTGCTGGAGGGAAACAAAAGAGTACATCAAGGTATTCTAACATGAAATGTGCTTTGTCACTGTCACTCTCATTTATCATGCCTTTGTTGACATCATTCGACAAGAGGAAATAAAACTTTTTCCCGACATGACAGACCCAGGCAGATCAGAATGAGAAAATGATCAAAGAGGAGTTTCAGACGCTACACGAGTTTCTCCAGAATGAGGAGATGACTAGACTGCAGACGCTCAGGCAGGAAGAAAAAGTAAAAACACAGGTGATGTGTGAAAAACTGGAACTCATCACGAACCAGATCAAATGTCTGGCCTCTACCATCAGTGAAGTTGAAACTGCGCTTAAGGCAAAGGATTTGTCATTTTTACAGGTACGTTAGCATTTTCTAACCCACCTTTTCCTATAAACTGCCCTGTAACTTACATCAGTATTAGAACAAGCCAATGTTTTAAAAATAAGTTATTTCTCTACTTTGTTTATTAAAAGGAATACAAGATGATGAAAAAAAGGTAAAGATAAACTAAACTATGCTCAACTTTGTGTCTTTCATACATAGAAAATCGTCAACCTTATTTATTTATATATATTTTTTATATATATCAAGGGTCAAGTGCGATTTCCAAGAGCCAGAGTGTATCCGAGACATTCTAATAAACTCTTCCAAGCATCTGGGCTTGCTGAAGTTTGGTGTTTGGAAGAAGATGTCCCAGATTGTCTACTTTGGTGAGTGAAAATTAACATAAATATGTTATTTAATTATTATATTATTAAAACATACTGTATATTATTAAAACATGAGTTACATTAAGCCTAACCTTCATTTTCCTAAACTGAGATATCCTTGCTTCGTGTTTCTACAGAAGCAGTTTATACACAAAACACGTAAAACATAATATTTGGCTTATATCATTCGTAAATCGGATATACAGTATTGATCATACCTAGACCTGCAGTGACGTCATAATAATGCCATAAACCCACATAGCACACGGAGTCACATACGTAAAAAACATCAACAATAACATAGCAAAATGAATATAAATAAATAAATGCATTTTACTCACAAAACTGATTATTAGTTGTACAATCCATCCTCTCTTTTTCCTTAAGAAGAGTCCAAAACTTTTCCGAACAACAACAATGTCCGTGCTAATGCTAATGCTAATGCTGGAAGTCCAGTCTTTTGAGTCGTGTTTCTGGTATAGGTTTTAATTTGCTTTATGGCTGAGAATGTCTGCTTGACAGAAGCAGTAGACACAGACATTTAATTTACGCGCGTGCAAAGCGCTATAGATGCAGTTTGCTAATTTCGAGAACTTGCGTTCTTTCACCGTCCAATCAAAGCTCTTAAAACGTCTACGTAATTCTACGCCTGCTATTTGTTGGCCTTGGTGTGATCCTGGCAACACATGGACTGGAAAATATAATTGTCTGTATAAGTATACAGAACATTACCAGAACAGACTATATGGCATTGCTTCATAAATATTTATGAATAATATATTTAAACAACAGTCACTGACACCCACTGGTTTTTCACTGGTAAAAATGTACCCATAAACCTTCCAATTACCATAACTGAAAAGAAAAGGACATGAAAACAGAGGTAGAGGTCCCTGTGGATTAACATATGATAGTGTGTTGTACTTTTAGTATCAATAAAAATACATTTTCAGTAATAATAACCAAAAATATATTGGTCCATCTATCTAGTTCCTATTACCCTGGATCCAAATACAGCTCATTTCAACTTGGAGTTTTCTCAAGAGCTGAGTTGTGTGAAATACAGCAGGAAGCAGCTTCTACCAAACAACATTGAACGCTGCACCAGTCGTCTGTGTGTGCTGGGATCGTCTGGCTTCACATCAGGAAAGAACAGCTGGACAGTGGAGGTGGGCCAGAGCAGAGACTGGTACATCGGTGTGGCCAGGGAGTCTATTAAAAGGAAGAAGACCGTCTTCCTCAACCCTTCTGAGGGCTTCTGGGTAATCGGCCTGACCAATGGAGACACAATGTGGGCTCAGACCTCACCTCCGACCAAACTTTGTTTAAAGCTAATGCCAGAGAAGATTACTGTAGAACTGGATTGTGACAAAGGAAAGGTTGTGTTTGTCAATGCTGCTGACAGGACGACAATATACACCTTCAAGGACAAGTTCACGGAGAGGATTTTCCCCTATATTTCTCCTGGGATCAGTCAGGAGGGAACAATCTCCAACACGCTGACAATTCAACCGATGAACATGACCATGAATTTAGTTTAGACATCAGCATTTCTATAGGGCACTGTGGTTAACAAGGTTTTAAAACTCAAACCAAATGAGTGTAAAAATGAAATAACGTACAACATATCACACAACACTGCAGACACTTATATTTAATAATCTGTTACAGTGTGGATTTGTTGACACTAACTGTTGTCTTTATTCCTAGGTTTTCTTTGTGTTGCCATGTCTTTCAGTTTTGAATCCAGTTTTCGTTGTAGATAAGCTTTTTTATTTGCATCCATGGATTTATCCTTCTTTCCACTGCCGGCATAAAGAACGCCTTCTTTACTTATTCTCATCCGGGCATGGGACTTGGCTTTTTCTCCACAGCCATGAACCTAAAGGAGTGCACAGTTTGGAATTAAATCTCTCTGTATTTTTTTTTAATTGAAATATCAGCATACATTTACAAAGGTCCGCTTTTAACAAGGAGTTAAATATTACATAATCAGACTAGCCCTCACACCGTCAATTGTTCAGGATAATTTCATACCTTTGTTTTTAAATTATGGTCAACTTGGGTGACTTTGGCCATAAAAACTGATCTTTATGCAATATATTTATGTAATTTATATATGGCTAAGAAACTTAGAAAACTCTTGTTCTGTGCACACCCTGAATGCCATAAAACACACCTAGTGATGAGAATGAAAGAAATGTGTTTGTCTAACATTCACAGAGAACAAAGATGAAAACAACGGATTAAGAATGACCTTTGAAAGGATTGGAAGTAGATTCTTATGGATTAGCTAAAATACCAAACATCTTTCTAAACATATTTACACAGTCTTAAAAACATTTTTTTTTTAAAAAGTCGTCCTGAATAACATTGCAAGGATTTAAGGTTTATAAATCCAAAAATGTATTCTGTTTGTGTTGCTGAAATCGTTTCTATAAAGGGTAATTTTTAGAGAAAATCCAGTTTTGTCACTTTTGTCTGCATGAAACAGACAAAATAAGACCAAATACCAGTGTGTTCATGTCTTACCTCTGGTACGTGATGACTGAGACAGTACTGTCTGTTGCAAAAGATGCAAAGCTGTCCTAAGGTTAGTACAGACGCTTTGCACTTGACAAAGCTGCAAACACTCTCAGCCTTCTTCACAGCATCAATGAGAGCATCAAAGTCGTCTTCAGGAGCAGCAGCGGCGGCGATGTCACAGGCACCTGCCTTTGTTCGACTCTTTCCTGGGAGAGACATTGCAGGAGCATTAGAGAACCCAAGAAAACCCTTACAGGACATGGATAAGTCTGTGAAAATGTACGAAAAATAAGAGGGCAAGTCAAAAAGTTCTAAGAAAGATGTTACGTTAACAAAAATGTCACAAACAACTTAGCGTGCCTTTGTGAAATGATGAGATTTGTTGTAATTAATCTAAGCTTTGGATGCATTGTTTCTTTTTTCCTTTTTTTGAATCTAAAAGAAAAACACCTGAAAGGAAGTCAATATCAGTCCTTGGCAGGTACAGTAGAAGTATGTTTCAGCCCTGTCTTTACTTGTGCCCTTGTCCTCAACAATGTTAATCATGTTTCTTACAGTCCATTTGAAAGTAGCTTTTTCTTACAGTGTGTAAACAACGTGTGTACCTTTGTAATGACTGTGTGTTACAGCCAGGATAAGTATTGCATATATTCTAGCCATGCATTAAAAAACTGCCCATTGATTAATTTCACAAATGAACTAATGCATTTAACTTGTGATTTTGACAGCCATACTTCAATGAAAACGTTGCTTTGACCTACATGGAAAATATGTATCCTCATGAAAACTTTTTGACTTCCCACTGACTTTTTTTTTAACCCAACCTTTTGTCTTCTTGAGTGACTGTGTCTGAGTTGGTAGGAGATTAACGTTGTGCTTCTTCTGTTGAGCATTTTCTTCCCTCTTCTGTTGCTCCCTCCTCATTCTTTCCAAATGTAAACTCTTCAAATCCAAGGTATGATGGTTCAGGGCCTCCACGGTCTCTTCTCGTTTCTCTGGCTCTTCCTTCTTTTCCTCTTCTATTTCCTCTGTTGGTGAGGTTCCTTCAGCTGGTGCTGACTGCTGAGGCCTGGAGACAGTGGTGCACCTGTCCTTGCCTTCACCTGTGCTCTCATGCATGAGGCCCATCTCCTCAGCAATCTGGTGGACCAGCAAGCGGTCATGGGAATTAAAAGAAGATGGGAATTGAAGATGATTCTGATTGGGGTCCTTCAAAAAGCTCTTCACCCTTTCTTGGATCTCAGTGTATCTGTTCTTGCTCTGTTCCATCTCTGCTTGTGTGCAGGGTTTGGTGTTCTTCTCTCTATTAGCAGTGTTTTCTTTGCTGTTGTTGGTAGACGTTTTATGTGCCTCTTTCTTCTTGCTGGAAGACTGAACTTGTTTAACAGATGAGGAGCTGCCGGCAGACACACTGACATTTGTGTCCTTGTGGTCTCTGGTTTTTATGTGCCTCTTTCTTCTTGCTTGAAGGCTGGAGAACTTGTTTAACAGATGTGGAGCTGCCGGCAGACACGCTGACATTTGTGTCCTTGTGGTCTCTGGTGTAGTTCTGTGGCACAATGTCCTGGATGTACTCAAAGGCTGTTCTTGTCTCACCAAACTCAGTTATGTGATCGACCAGGGACTTTAAGAAAGCATGGTTTTTTATCGTTTGTGAGTCGCACACCACAGCAATGTGGCGCCTCGCCCGCGTCACTGCCACGTTTAATCTCCTGTCCTCAGCCAGGAAACCCACTTCACCTGAAATCAAAGATTGATCACACGTTTGTTTAAAAATCCAGGCTTATGGAGCCTGACATAAACAAGGGAATAAATAAATAAACCTTTTCTGTTGGATCGAACCATTGACAAAACCACAGCCTCCTTCTCTCTGCCCTGAAACCCATCAACTGACTTAATCTCCAGCTCTGGATGCTTCATGGACAGTTTCTGACGCAGGAGATCAACCTTAATGAATATAAAAAAGTAAAACAAAAAAGTTTACTTTTATAATTTTTATACAAGTTATTCTATACAAAATAAAGATAACAGTTCAGTTAGCACTGTTTTATGACTTACTTGCAAATTGTAGGGTGCAATAACTGCAATGTCTTTGGCTTTGATTCCAGCTTCTGTCAAGGCCATTATGTGCAAATCAACAATGTCTACCTCACCTGTAAACAAAGCACACGTTAGAATCTGTACCTGAAGTGTGACTTCAAAATAAACCTTTTATTGAACTGAAGACTGAACAACAAACCTTTATTGCCTTTGGACTGCTCTTCTGCGACCTCCATCTCATTCAGACCACAGCCTGCAGTGTCAATCAGAAGCAGCGGTGTGTTTGTTTCTTCAACACAGGTAACTCCAGGTAAGTCTCTGGCTCAAAAACAGTATTTTTAACATTTGGCTGAATGAGGGATTAATAGAATCTAGTCTAAAAAAAGCTGATTCTTACTTTAATAAATGTTTCTCCACAGACTCGTGTGCAGTCAGTCTTCCCTGGTACATTTCTTTGGACGCCCACTCCATGATGGCACTGTTCATGCGGTACTGCACTGTCAGCATACGAACCACTGAGTCCCCATACATCTGGATAAGTCTCTCCATGAGACTGACAGATAAGCCTTTTGACGCGGCGCTGTAGGAAACCAGGAAAACAAATCTTCATTACTAATAACTTTCTGATACGAGTCATAATAAATGACAGCAAGTTGTTCTGGGAATGTTTTTGGGTACATTTCTCCAAATTAGAGATTACAAAATCTTACAAAAACAGTTAACAAAACTCACTACCAAATCTGGAAGATATATGAGGCTCATCAGGCAAAAGTTTTTCCACACAAGTGGGGAATCAATGAAACGTTATTTTAAAAAGAAAATATCAAAACATTAAAAGAAAATTTGGTTTGAGTCTTAATTGTATATTTTCCAGTATCCTGATTCTAACCTAAACCTGCATTTTGGACAGAGTGTCCAGAACATGTTGGTGGTTGAGTGAATTAACAGAATTAAAAAGTATGCATTGACTTATGTGTGTAATTACACATGTGATTTGATTGTTGGTGGTAGCTGCTTGTAGTCACCGGCCAGAATACACTTGCGAGCTCGGAGGAGGGAAATCCAGCAGCTGCTCTCCAGAGCCTGAGCACATTCATCAACAACCACACAATCAAAATGCTCCACTGGCAGCAGCTTCAGGGGGCCATCATTACAAGCACCTGCAGATGCAGACAAAAGTTCATGATTGGTTGATAGATCAACACTGAATGGCACCCTCAAGACTCCACGTCCCAACTGACCAGTGTTGGTTGATAACACTACGTCAGCACTTTTCAGGATCTGGGTAATGGCGGTTGCTTCTCTGGTCTTCAGCTCTTTTCTCAGCTCTGCTATTTCTCTTCTGAAGTTCCCCCGGTCACTTTTTTCTCGCACCTTCTTCATTTTAATCTTAAAATAATAATTAAAAAAACAAACAATAATTGACTATATTGGTTTTCAACCCGACCAAACAAAACATAATCATAGTTCAACTGAAGAGACACAAACACTGGAGCCCACAATAAGATACTAACAAAAGCTGTGTCAATGTCCTTGCGTATATCCGTGATGATAGTTGCATTGTCACTTTGAGAGAGGATGGCATCCAGTGAATGTTTCTGGATGGACTCCAGCAGCCTGGCAGGGTGACCCAGCCTCAGGACTTTGGCCTTGCACCGGGCTAACCTCTCCACTAAATTATCCACAGCCACATTAGAGGGCGCACAGCACAGCACCTGCACAAACACCACAACTTTGTTAAAAATAAAATGAAACAGCCATTGACGACACACTCGTGTTGGGACTCAAACACTGCACCTTATGGCCTTGTTTGACTGTTTGAAGAATAATTTCCACCACTGTTGTGGTTTTGCCCGTTCCTGGAGGTCCATGGATGATTGCCAGTTCTCTCTGAGACAAAGCAAACGAAACTGCATCTCTTTGGGAGTCATCCAAGTTTGGGTTAAAGAATCCAATCTCACCTAATGGGATGTAAAGTGAAATCAGCTAGATTTAGTCCCAATGATGCTTTAAAATCAGTGTTGACACAACAAACAAACAAGGCAGTGTGTCATTTTACTTACTTGGTTTTGACTGAGTTGATGGTTTTGCATCTCCAAAAAGAACACTGATCAGATTAGCTGCTGGTCCATTGTTGTAACTTTTTAACAGATTCAAGGCACTACCAGTAAAAACAAAAAACATAGACGCAATTTACCTCGTCCTTACCATTTTCTGAGCAATCAGCATAATATGAAAAGTTACTTACTTTTTCATTCGTTTGTAGGTCACATCATTTGCTAATTTAAGAAGAGTGTAAAGACCATCAGTATCAATAATTAGTCCATCTTTGAAATCATCAAAGGCGACATTGATAGATGTTTGACTGACTCTTGTCACTATCCCTGTGGCAATCTGAGAGGCAGCAGTGCACCCACCAGCGTCGTACAAGCCAACTATATCACCTGTAAACGAAATATTCAACAAATCACGCAAGTAATTTCCCTGCACACCCATTTAATAAAATCTCTTCCTCTTACCAGGTCCAAAGCTGTTGCTCGGTAGAGTTGAGAAACCGAGATGCTTTCTTGGCTCTAGTATGACGACTGTGCGACCGTACAAGCCTGTGGACTGACTTCCAATCTGCAGTTTCAGCAGGCAAACTCCTTTATTTTGAAGATCCTTTGGTGAGACGTTTTCCTGCCATAACCTAGTGGCAGTAAACAGGACTGTTTACAATCAATTAACTATCTATTGTAACAAAACCATTTTGTGTTTCATATGCTTAATCTATCTTGAAGGACTAAAATACACAAGGTCATCTCTGACCTTGTGAGTTGAATCATTCCTTGTGTAATCAAACTAAAGACATGTAAGCCCTTTACTTTACTACTTTCAAAAGTCTCAACTAAAACAGCCTGGATGTTTGGTTTTACTTACCTCGTCTCCTCTATTTCTGCTTCCCTCTCCTCCTGGAGAAGCTCAAGTGTTTTGGAAACGTATTCTTCAACAGCCATCTTTCACTAAAAAAGAAACAGATATCAATCAGTTAGAGGAATATATAATATTTACACACATTACAAAACAATATCATTGTTTATTACTTTAGAAGGTCAAAGCTTAAGCTAAAAATATTAGTCAACATTAGAACTACAGTGAAGTGTATCATATTTTTAATGCCAATTCATATTTATGAGTATGTGCATTTGTTGTAACCCTTTAATGAATGATTGGGTCTTCTCGGTGGCAGCTACTTAACAACATTAATCATGTACAAGACGTACTACATAAGTCATCATCATTAAATAAAAATATGAGCTACACATGTACTGTATATACTGTACTGTATCATAAGAGTGGGTGTGTGATAGCCTAACACTTAACGTATCCAATTTAAAATATTTAAAACATGTATTTATATTTTTAAGTTAAAAACATAAACTTTTCAATATCAACGTTAATTTGGTGTAACAAATAAAGCTCATTAGCTTGTGTCACTTGAAGTCTCATAGAAAGTCTCCCAATGAGCTAACTTGTTAGCCTGTTAATCTCTCTATACTAAACCTTTAATTAAACATACAGACGTAACACTGACACTCACCACCTCACTCCAGTTATATCCACAGACGAAAAGGACTGCCTCCGATTTTTTGTAATACAAATATTAGGTTCCTTGATCACATATGGTCATTTTCTCCACTGCGTATGCTCATAAGTCTATTATCTTCTTCTATTATTTGATATATTCACCATGTTAGCTGCACTGCCACCCATCGGCGCAGAAGTGTTCAGAACTGGCTTCAAATCGGAAGCTTTTATTCTGGAGAGAACACAACGCGGAAGAGACGTAGCACCGACACGCAAAACAAACGTGTCAATCAAACTGAACCCCACCAGCACGACAGGAGTGAGAGCTTGGTGTTTACAGATTAAACAGGGTTTTTTTCTGCAGAATGGCAGGTTGTTCTGTGTGATCTGCACGAAAAAAATGCAGCGTATGTCTCCTATTCTAAACATCTCACTCAGGAAGAGAGGAACGAAGCTTTCGTGTTGCAAACTGAGCTAACCGTTTTTATTTGAAATATTCACGAATCGTTTTAACTTGTTTTTAGAAATGAGAACGGCTTTAGTTCTGTTGTATATCATCTCCGGCTGCTGGTTGGTCAGTGGCACACTTTCTAAAACTGATGCCAAAAAGTCGCATAAAGCTGAGGTAAGTAACTTCATGTCCCCACCTATAAACTCTTTTCTTTCTGTGCGTGTGCGCGCATGCCAGATATACCTGTGAAATGTCAGTAAAATTAATTTAAACTACGTGTTTTCTTCCCGTTGAGTTAACTCCAGAGCCTTAGAATTTGGTTTTGAAGTCAGTAGCTTTGTTTTTTTAGTGCATGAGTACTAAAGACAGAAGTAATCTAAAGATCAAATATGTAATTAGTCTCTGTTTTAATTGACTTAATAAAAGAGAAGATGATTCAAAATATCTGGAATAACTAAACCAATCAAAACATTGCAAACGTTATGACACTATTTCTAATAGGTATTGTAACAAGAATGTTATGACAGAAGGAGATGCTTAAACAGTCACAGTATGTCTCTGAACATGTAGATTCAAGGATAAGCTAAAAGGAAGCTACAGGACTTCCGCTTAGACAACGAAAGCCCATTTATCAGATGTAGCTGTAACCTGTGCATTTTGGAGAAAATGCATGCAGTACTTTAGCGATTTCTGTGCACAGTTACTTGTTGAGCCTGTGCCACAACGGCCTTAACATAACATACCTGTGCCATAACATACCTGTCTCACTCCATTGAGAAATGCATGCTTTTCTAAGTCTGGTGTTCTCAGTTTGGTTGAAGTCACCATTTGTCTTTGTTCTGCTTTCTGGATGACTGTTATTACAGTGTTAGTACAACACTGTCTTCTTTACTCACCTCTATTCATTTCCCTTTTCCTCCAATGGGTAGACATCTCCGTCAGAGTATTCTGTGCTGGACAGAGGCCTCGTTGTCTCAGACCCAAACTGGAAAGACATAGTGAGGGATGAAAAGGTACACTGCTCTCACATCAAGAAAAACTTTCCAGGAGCGGTGCTTGGATACGTCACACCTGTAAGTTCACCTGAAATTCAGTCAGACGATAACCTTCAAAATTGTAATTTTTCCACCAGTTATTTCATTGGGAGTCCCAATGGAAATACTAGAAAGCAAATCCCAAATAATGGATCTGTTTAAATAACAAGAACCTAATCTAACCTCCCAAATAATGGATCCGTTTAAATAACAAGAACCTAATCTAACCTAACCTAAAACGAATATGCATATGTAAATTTTTGTTAGAATTTAAATCCAATTTAAATTTGTGTTTTTAACACAGTATTTGAATTCACCCTAATGGTTTTACCCTGCAGTGGAACGCTCATGGATATGATGTTGCCAAAATGTTTGGTCCCAAACTGACCTCCGTATCTCCAGTGTGGCTTCAGCTCCGTCGTCGAGGTCGCGAAACCTTCGACGTTACCGGACTCCACGATCATGACTCGGGTAAAAACCTCATTTAACGTGATTGCATCACCAATCAGGTGAACTCCCTGTATTTTCTGATTGGATAAAGTGACTTTGTGAGTTTATGTTGGAGTCTGGGAGTTGTTTTTGGGAGCTCTTCTAATAACAAAGTGACATCACTGAACCACCATGTGTTTGCTTTTGTGGTTTATGGTTGGTGGGAGAACTGCAGAGAAGTAGAACATGGGTGCATTCTATTCATAAGTTATTCTATCGACTGTAAGAGGTCCAATTTTAAATTTTATTATTTGTCTAAAAAAAGAATTTGAGTTCATTAAAAGCTATAAACTCAACACACGTTTTTGTTCTTGTAGGTTGGGTCAAAGCTGTACGGAAATCAAACAAAAAAGTCAGAATGGGTAAGAAGATTCTCCAACCTCCTTCACATACATCATGCGGTCTTAAAAACATATACATAATTGTTTTTCTTCTGTTCCAAGTGCCCAGACTGTTACTCGATGGTTGGTCTTACCAAGACTACATGAGCGTGCTGGGAAGTGAGGACGAGATAGAAGAGCTGTCAAACGAGCTGGTAGATGTTGCAAAGGTAAAAAGGAAATCTGTGTTGAAATATCACTTCTGTGCCTCAGTGTGTGTCTGACTGATGATGCTGTCTCCTGGCAGACTGAGGGTTTTGACGGTTTCACCTTGGAGCTGTGGAGTCAGCTGGGCGGCAACAAGAGAAGGCGAGTTGTATTCAGTACACGGCTGAAGTTGTGCCTCAGCCATGTTGCGATTGTCCTACCAATGATTCAGGAAGTGATCAAATATGTCTCCTCTATCCAGGGAGCTGGTGCATTTTGTGAAACATGTATGTGAGACTCTGAAGGCTAAGAAACTCGACTGCATTCTTGTTATTCCGCCCCCTGTGACAAGGTGATTGTTAATTGAATTTGTCGAAATGCTGTAAACGTTGTCCCAAAATGATGCTTTTAATTGCATTTAAAATTCCTCTTATGATCAGCACGGGACAGCCAGGGATGTTCGGCAGGGACGACTTTGAGCAGTTGGCCCCGGTGGTTGATGGATTCAGCCTCATGACTTACGACTTCTCCAGCGGTCCAAGGTGAGAGCACAGGCACAGCTGATGTAACGTACAGTCCCCCTCTGACAGACTGTGTATAAAAGATGACGTTCCTGGGAAGTGCAAGACTTTGGGGACATTACTGGTTACTGTTTCTATGATATCAACTAGTGGAGACCCCAGGAAGTTCACTTTTAATGACTTCTGTGCTGATCTGAATATTAAAACAGTTCCCCAGATTAGGGATTAATGAAATTCTGTGACCATTTTTGAAAATGAGAAACCCTTCCAGATTGGTGTTTAAATCTTCTATCTTGTTTCTTTTATCTTTTATCACTGTGTTCTGAACCTGTCTTATAAAGTTACTTTTGTGTGAAGCCCTGAAATAGCTCTGTTGACTGAATCTCTGATAAAATGCTAAATTCATTTTTGCACAAATATATATCTTCTATTTTCAAATAGTCCAGGCCCCAGTTCCCCTCTGTCCTGGGTGAGAGACTGTGTTCTGCAGCTCGCACCCAACACTCAGTGGAGGGAAAAGATCTTGTTGGGACTTAATCTGTATGGTCTTGATTTTGCAAGCCAGGGAACAGAGCCAATCCTGGGAGGAAGGTGAGCGTCTGTTTGAGGCATAAAACCAATGCTAATTAATGTTCTTCAATGTCACTCATTTTTCACTTTTTCTTCTTCATATCAAATGTTAAGAAACATCAAATGACTCCAGCACAGCTTTTCTTTAACAGTGTGCTCTGATATTTTTCCTGATATTAAGTTTGAGATCATTACAGCACAATCTAGTTTTGTAATTTTTATACAGAATTGTTTAGATACATTTAAGCTATGTTTGTCAGATCTTCACTTTCTGTTTTCGTCTGCAGGTACATTGAAATTTTGCGAGAACAGAGACCCAAACTGGTCTGGGATGAAAATTCTTCAGAGCATCATTTCAGTTATAAAAGGTAAGGACAAAAATCTAAGGTTACATTTCAAATTTCTTTCTTCCAGCATTATTTTTTTTTTTAAATTTTTAAATACACATACTCTCATTTCAGTGCCAATGCTGCAAAGCACGTGGTTTATTATCCGTCACTTAAGGTACAACTTTTTCCTTATTTACTTACTTTACTTTACTTAAGACACTTACAGCCTAGCAGAATATTAACATGTAAAAAACTGAAATGTAATTTACAGTCAATCCATCTACGGATATCTTTAGCCGTGGAACTGGGAACTGGGATTTCCTTATGGGAGCTGGGACAAGGACTGGATTACTTCTACGACCTCCTATGAGAGTTTCGCTTGTTAATGAAGAAAGTCATGAGCACATTCTGTTGATGTGTTTTTATTGCTGTGAACCCGAACATCGGCTGCTGTTTGCAGGATTGTTTTTCCTGCCAGTTAAAATAACCTCTGAGATCAGGGGTTAGTTCGTAATCACGTTGTTTGGGGGGAGTGAAGAGAACGGATGAAAGTGGAATGTGTTTTAATTGGCTCCAGCGGCAGCTAAAATGACGTTGAATTAAATTTGTACAGACCCACTGATACTCAACAACGGAAGGTACACGATCAGTATCTATTTATGTACATGAAATAAAAATGCTTGTTTCAGGCTTTGAAAATTAATTTACACCTCTGTATTCACTTTTGTCACGTTTTCCTTTCAATCAAGAAATGTGATTTTGTTTTTGTCGACAAGTTGGGACGCTTTGTCTTGGTGCCAAATATATCTTCAATAATTCCAAATATTTGTTTGATTGCATCAATATAAACGTGAAATCAAGTGTGCGTGTGTCAGATCCTATCTCTATTTGTCTTTACCACTAGAGAGCAGGATTAGATTGTGTACAGCCAGTGATGTTGACCGCATGTTCTGTCCAGTAATCAGGTGCCGATCTGTGACCACGTGTACTGCATCTTCTTGACTTGCTAAGGAAAAGACATAAGGACAGGAAGTAGGTCGGGTGTGTCGCTGCAACTGTAGTAAATACAGTATTTTTGCTAAGGTGCACTCACCTGTGTATGAACCTCCACTGTCTTTCACAAAGTCCTCCACAATCAGAGGCAGGTTGGCAAAATCTGGCCTCCTCACCAGTTCAAATACGGACGGCTATAACCAAAGCAGTAAGAGTTTGTTAATTTTTTTTACACCTACTTTAAACATTTAGAAACAGTCGATGTAAAGGACGTCTGATTTACTGCACCGACCCCTGTTAAACTGTATCCCTGGAAGATCCATTTGTGTCCCTCTGTAGCACAGCACAGAGCTGACACTCCCTCTCCCACTGCACAAACAGGCTCTGCACACAGCAAAACTGACCTAAGTCCAAATCTGTGCAGCAACTACACAAACACCAGACGCAAAGATTGTTTTTGAATTAACCTCAGACTCACTCTGCTGTGAGATAAAGTGTGATAGGATCCGGTGCAAAGAGCCACTGTGTGCCAGGTCATTCAGAGCTCCGGGGCAGTCAGGGATCAGCAGAGCCTGGTACCGGGCACCTGCAAAAAAGGTCAGCAATTTTTTAAGCAACAGAAAAAAATAAATGAAAAACGACAAGTGGCCTTCAACTGGATTTGTTTTCCTCACCGTCTATAGATTCAAGTTTGGCCGGTGTAGCATAAGGTTTTACACTGAAGTCCTGCACCCATCTGGCTGTGCTCTCATCCACTCCAACAAAGTCTATCGGTTTCCCCTGTAATGGTGACCATCACAACAATTTGTCGGTGCAGGGAGAAACAGGTGCGGTGGAATATAAATATATGTATGAAGTCTTACCCCAGGTGTAGCTGTCTGGAGATTGAAAGCTGCGGAGCAAAGACTAAAAGACTGATGGAAAGACTTCGCGGACACCCCTGAAAAACAAACACATACACACACACTTATTCGTCTATAAAACACAGGTACAACACACAACCTTAATAATAATAATAACTATGACCTAACACCAAAAGTAATGTAAAATACTGTTTTTAACCTGATGTTACTACGACTGCAGTATCGATAGTTATTCCCACTCACCTTGAGGAGACGCACTCGCGACGATCAAACATGTCGGTTTTGAAGACATTTTTATGAAAACATGTATTTTACGATATATGGTTCTATTTATCCCGCATCAATTATTTTAGTCTGTTTAAAAATCCCACCGGTATTGCTATCGGCGAACTTTGACGATGAGGCACAGGAGGAAGTCCTGTCACGTGACAACAACATCCGGTCACAACCTTTGACAATAAAGGTTTAACAAGAGGCGAAAAAAAATAGAACTACCACTTTTTTAATTAGCGTTAGCAACACATCTACTACAATTATAAACAGCAACAATTATAATACAATTAATAATAATAATAGAATTAATAATAACAAATTATCAATAATACAGTTATAATTTGAGTATACGGCATGAAATAGAGAGACGTTGAAAAGAAAAACACACTTATGAGATACACTTCCAATGTATTTAAATGATGGGTTCAATATTTTGGAATTATGGACATAAATATTTGTTCACTAAATCTATGGAAAAATTAATGAAATAATAAAACAAAGTATACTGGCTAAAATGTATTCTAAATTGGTTTTGATCAGTAGAAATAATTCAAAAATGAGTGTTTAGAGAAAAAGTACAGTGCTGTCCAGCAGCTTTGATGTAGTTTCAATTATGTCTAGATGTCAGATAAAATAGATGAGTGATAATACAGCCTCCATTACTATGGTTTAATGAGTGAGCGATCATAATTTTCAGTCAAACATTGTTCAGTATTTCAGGTGATTCATTATGTGTGTGTGGGAAATTAGTACGGCTCTTCTTTTAAACTGTGATGAAGGCAGCAAGTGAACATCATTCCGACCAGCTGAAAAAGGAAGACCAGAACAAACTAGTTATAAAATATTTGTATGAAGTAAAACACGGTTAACTAAAATAAAACTGTCATTCATCAGGCCTTCAAGTTTTACCTGAAGAAATGCAATCCCAGTGCCCACTGCACCAAGAATATACAACTGACTGAGTGTAAAACTCTCCAGTTTCATGATGCAGCCTCCCTGTATGTGTGAGAAAGTAAAGATGAAGTGATTTTTTTTTTTTTTTTGCCAATTGAGCCAATGATCAAAACCAAATAGACAGGTCTTCTCACCTCCACATTGTAGATGTTGGATGGATGGTCCCTGATACCACAGAGGTCATCAGGAGTTTTACAGCAGCTGTCAGGAACAAGACGTGCATTATCTGCTCTCTGGATCCACACACTGTCTTTCCAGTCTGTGTAGTTGTTACTGCCGCAGCACATGAACTAAGAAGTAGCAGAAACAAGAGGAACAGGGACAGATGAGGGTAAATGACACTGGTCTGTGTTCACATTCAGTTACAAACGTGCGGTGTCATCTTCATCATCACACCTCCTGCTGTAGTCTGTCCACAGCCTGTGTCACACTCTCCTCCCCGGGCTGCTGATATTTCTGCTGCATGTTAACCTTCAGATTCTGCCTGAGCTCCTCGTCCAACTGTGGGAAAGAGAGAGAGAGAGTGAGTGAGAGAGAGGTTACCATGTGGTTACCAAGTGCCTGTAATGAAATGTGAAGTTGGCATGGGCCCATGTGAAACCTACAAACTGATCCCACATGCATCTAATTTCTGACCCTGGGTCTGTCGTCCTAATCTTGGCGTGTCGTTAATGTTTTGATATACTTTCCTGGTGCAGAGTGATAATAAACCATCACAATCAACCCATTATGAGACAAACTGATTGACAGAAAAGGGAAACATGATGAAAAGATTACCTGGAAGCAGAGAGGAAAACACTGTAACCAGAAAAGAGGGAAAAGAGATGTGTGTGAAAAGTATCGAAAACACGTGCAAATGAAGCTCATGCTGTTAGAGGCTTGCAAAAAAAAATTTTGATAGTAAGAGGTGAATAAACGGTGGAAAGTAGGGGTTCCGGTAATCTCTATCCTAATGATTTAACTGTAGCGTACTAACACAGAAAAGTACAGTAACTCCTCTTGTACCTCTTGGTATTTTATGTAGGCCAGCAGACCAGCAACGATTTCCAGTAGGAAAATACAGAGCAACAGGATCAAATACTGGGAAACAGAAAAACAGGAACACAACAGTTAATATAATGTTAAAACATAAAAAAATAAAATAAATTGCATTGTCTCTTTTGGCTTTTGCACAAATTGGAAAGATTGCAGGAAAATAGACCATTACTGCAGCTCAGGTTTGCCAGCACTTGTTTAATACGAAAAAAAAAAAAAAGAAGAAATGTGACTGTGGAGGGGAAGAGCTAAGATCACATGAAAAGTCATCTCTATCTTTTTCTTCTTTAGTAAGTGTTATTCCTAATCTACATAACACCCCTAAATTAAGTAGTATATTTATATTTTTTCGATCAGAAAACAACCAAATAGAATTACAGTATATAAGTACTCACTGCAAAGGTCAGGAAATATGTAAAATACCTTAATAAATTAGCTTCTTTTTTATTTACCTTGTTGTCTAAACGCTTATCCTTCTACTGCCTATGTTTTTTTTTTTAATCTCTCATACCCAGACTCCCTCACTCCCCCCTCTGTGACCCTCTCCAGGTTAAGCAGACGCCTGTAATGCCCTTCATTCCATTGGCATGAGTCAAGCTCTAAATCTAGACTCTTAAAGACACAATCTACATGACTTTGTCAGGCCGGTCTGACCTAATATGCAGCAGCGATGACTGCAGACAGACAGAAATGACCCAAGGTCATCCTGGATTAACTTTCAGTACAACAGACTCAGACTGGATTAAGTGTCCAACCCATAACTTCAGCGGTGTCTCTTAGTGTTTCAGTCTCAACGAAATCAGAAAAAAAATCTGTACTTCAGTGACTTGAGTGACCAACAGGTTTGTTTTTCCAACAGTGTTGTGTTTGGTGTAACTGGTCACTGCTCACCACAATCAAAAGACTCCTCATCTCCTTCAGTGTGGCACAGCATCCTATCATCCCCGTCACTATGACTATGACTCCGGCAGCTATCAGGATGTACGCTGAGGCAGAGTAGAAGCTGGAGTTCAGTAAACTGATGTAGTCACTTTTTTCTGTCAGAGTCCACACTCCCACTGCCAGCACTGCTCCTCCTGCCAGCTGGAAAAAAAAAGAAAAAAAAGGCCGTTATCAGTTCAATTCAGGCCAGGTGCTTCAGTGAGCCACAAAACTGTTGACACTTGTACTCTGAAAATCTCACGGTGACGAAGAAACATAACACGTTTTTTTTTACTGGGATAAAGATTATAAAGCGTGAAGAAGAAACACGTTGTTTTTTACTGGGATAAAGATTATAAAGCGTAATGAGAGCAACACAATTTTTTAATTAACTACTTGTGCTTATGAATTGCATTTTGCATTTATGTAACAATGACAAATAAAGCCTCTTCTTTTTCTTGATATATAAGCAAGCCCGTCATCTATTTCATTCTTTGGAACAAGTCTAACTTGTAAATTATGGTGATGTGTAGCAAAACAATAAAGAAGAAGTCATTTTTATTTTACTTACCCAGAAAAGAATATTAAATAAAAACAGAAGATATTTCAGACAAATTGTCCCACAGGTCTGCTTTTTTACACGCCGGTTTTCCATTCTGCAATAGATAAAAATAAAACATTTTAGTACACGGAAGCTTCAACTGTAATCACAGAAACACATCTGGAAAACATCAGATGCAGTAAATCTCCCTGAGGAGAGGAAGTCACACCCTCTTACATTCATGTTTACATGCAAAGATTCCCACTAAGAACCTTAAGTCACTTGACGTCTCGTACTGCTGTGTCTGATAGATGTTCTGTGGTGCAGCCGGTGTGAAATGATTTAATGGGTGGAGGTCTAACATAACTGCGGTGTGTGTATATAAGGTACAGAATATGAGATGACGACATGTAGTCACATTTAGATTATGTGTGTATTGCACGAACGGGAAGCCAAATATAACGTGAAGGGCTTTGAAAAACGTGCAAAAAGCTCAATGATTAAATCACACGTTACAGGAAAAACATCTACTCAACGCGCTGTCATATATCAGCTGGTAGACAAATACTGTACATATATATCTGTATGTGTGTATGAGTGTGTGTCCTCATCCTAGTTTGTAAACCTGATCTGCTCTATACTGTTGACTCCCAACTATTTACTAAATGGTCGACGAAAAAAAACTAAACCTGTGGAGAACCATCTATCACCAAAATAAAAACCACAAACACACACCTAATGTTTAAATCCATGAAACAAAACACTTCATGTGACTGTGAACCTCCAGCAAAACAGATTCTATAATGGTCACTTCAAGTTATTTTTAACTCATTGTGTCATGGAAAACCTGCTCAGTCCTTAGACCAAAACACTCCTACCTGATTTGAGGTGGGGGTCCTGATGGATGTGGAATATCGGGGGTAAGGTCTTCTCAGCTCCCGGTAACCTCAGTGTCAAAGTGCTTCCGTCCTTGAGGGTCAGCTGCAGCAGTGTAAGTTACGAGTTGACACTCAGACCGGAGCCTCCTATCACAGCGTCTGGGAGTCGCTCCACATTTGGCACAGCAGGCCGGTTGCCCACTCACATGCTTCATACAGCACAGGTATACTGCCCCCACCAGGCAACTCAGGTCCATCAAAAACAAATGTGATAACAACAAGACGGGGGTCCACAAAATAAACACTTTATTTAAGGAATTGTTTTTAGGAGTTCATTTGTGAACCTTACAGACCTCTTAGGAAGATGTGTTCACGAAATGGAAAAGGAAATAAAGGCTCATGTTACCGGAGGAACGGTTTCAGTAGAACTGTCTTTTCTCCCCTGCCTACAAGCAGCAGCGTTTTTTAGATGTTTCCTCCGTCAGTAGAAGGGCATCTTCACATTGTCGGTCATGTTGGGCCACCAGCATCCTGACACGAAGTAGTAAAACAGTACAATTAGTATACAACAAAAAATGAATACAACCGAAGTTGAAGAAGATGAAGAAGGGAGAAAGAGGAGAGGAAGAAGTACTAAGAGTAAGACAGTACTACTGCTGTGACGTGGTGTGTCGGAATATGTCATACTCTGCCAGTTGAGTCATCAGCTCCTCGACGTTACTTCCTGTCTTGGCACTGCACTCGTAAAATAAAGCTTGGTGCTGCTGTTTAAGACAAAATTCAGACATTTCATTCACACCGCTGGAGAAATCCCTGACCAGGAGCGGCTTCAATATTCAATATAACCTCACCTGTGCTAGTCTCTCCCCCTCCTCCGTCGTCACCTCTTTGCCTTTCTTGCCTGCCAGGTCCAGCTTGTTCCCCAGCAGCATTAACACTGTGCCTTCATTCATCTTCTCCTGGGACACACATCAGATGAACAGTATTTACTCACTCGGTCAGTAGGAGGAAAAAGGAGCATTTCATCCAACATGAGCAGCTTGGCTCTTCAAAATCCACATCTTTGTGAAGACAAACTGTGCTTTTGCTCTGTTGTTGTCCATTAAAGAGTGTTTATTCGACACAACCAACCCTGCATCACACCTCCAACTGTTCACCTTTGCAGCCTCCATCCATCCTCTCACTGCGGTGAAGGAGGTGGAGTGAGTTACGTCATACATGGCCAGGACCCCGTCAGCCTTTCTGTAATACTGCTCAGTGATGCTGCGAAACCTGCAAATGAAATAAAAAATAAGTTATACCACAAATTATAAATCAATAAAATACTGTAAGAGGCTGGGTATGGATTTATTGGTGACAGAATATGACAAGAGCATTGATGCAGCCACCTCTCCTGTCCTGCGGTGTCCCACAGCTTCAGGGTGATGGTGGTGGAGCCCAGACTTAATGTCTTCATCTGAAAATCTATACCTGACAACACAGAGACTCCAGGTTTGATCATAAATGCCCAGTATGGGAGGAAATGTCATCAAATAAGATTAGCCTTACCCACAGTAGCACTAGATTTACTTAAGGAGCTCCCGGTGCAGTAGTAATGGATGAAGGAGCTCTTCCCCACACCTGAGTTACCCAGGAAGACCACCTTGAACACTTGCTGATTTCTGCTCTAAAATTCAGGTAAAAAAAACAGACTTAATACATAAAAAAAGGAAAACCAGACTTAATACATTTAAAAAGTCTACAATTAGTTGATTTCATATTTTGTCCTACCTGGCTTTGACTCTGCTCAACGTTCTCACACCTGCTGCTGCAGGACGACTGGTGTCTCTTAGATGCACTTGTCATCGCCGTGTCCTGCTCCAACTCGTCAGATGAGCTCAGCTGTCTTCAGAGTGTAAAAAAAAACACACAGAGACTTAGTAACTTCACACTGTGGAAATAACCAAAATAATGACATCAGAGCCACGTGCGTTATACGAACCTCTTCAGCGGCTTCTCCTGCTGTAAGTAGTTACCTATGATTGACCCTTTCTTCTGCAAAGTCTTTGTGACATTTGGACTCTAAAAAAGCGTTTGTGTGAACAGCAAGGCAGAAGACACAATTAAGATTGTTCTGTGGTCTAAAGTAGGCATTTATACTCTCAAACAAATGCAAATAATGTTAGTTTCCGATTTTATTTTGTTTTGTTTTGGCAATGACGATGAAGGTCAGGTTGGAGGGAGAGTTGAGGCTGAGAGAGTTGGAGCACGTGATAAGGGGAAATATTACAATATTCGGACAAAGAATGGTGGAAGATGGAGCTGTAGCGAAGTGGACGTCCAGAAAAAATCCACGGATTTACACGATGACCAAGAGTAGAGGGAAGAAAACAAAAGGTTAACTCTGAGATGATTCTCGGAAGAAACGGACTGAAAGAATAGACTCATGCAAAAACTACTAAATTAAAAAAATAAAAAGAATGTTAGTGTTCTTACTAATACGAGGTCAGATGAAAGGTCACCTACAGAGAAATGTGAGATTTGTGGTAAATGAAATACCTTTTTTATTAATCAGTAGATACTGACCAGGATTTTTTTTCTCACCCGCATAAATTCGATTTAATTTTTTAACAATATAGTACAGTCTCATTAATGTTTATATACTATTTATACTATTATAGTTTTTATAAATATATGAAAAATACATTCCTCTACAGCGCTCTCGGACACAACAGAAAATGTCATCCAAAAAAAGGGTTACTACGCAGAATCTACAGAAAAATACAGTACTGATAAACTGAACCGGTCAGTGACAGTTTAACAAGTTCAGTTAATGACCAACAACAACAGCAGCAGCTGCCTGAGTTAATAGCCATTGTCCAGAGGCCTGTAGCCATTCCGGGACTTAGCTCAGCGTGGATAAATCTCCTGTGTCCATGGTGAAGACAGGTCTTCACTGAGGTAGTAAGTTAACGGCAGAGCAGGAAGGACAGTGCGTCTGTGACTGTGACTAACCCTCTTCTGAGTCTGCTGGGCGTCCTTCTCATCTCGCAGCTTTTTATTCATGTCCCTGAGAGCAAAAAAATAAAGCAGCACAAAATTGAAGTTTAAATTCCGTTAGCTGATTTTTAGGGTTCTTTTTTTGTTTCACCCTGACGTCATGGGGATCTCACAGTACAGTACAGTAAAAGGGATGACATCATCAGTACAGCCTCACCTCAGCAGCTCCAGTTGTCTTAAGAGGCTCTCCTTCTCTTTTTGTATGTTCTTGGAAACCCTCGTCACATTTCTAAAGAAAGAAAACAAATTAAAACAGCATTCTAATTAAAGGCCACGTGCAGGAAATGGGAAAATGAAAATACTCAAATCAGTTGTATAACTCAGGGCCACCCTTTCATCTAAACATCTGAGATTATTCTGTGGCCACAGATATTATGATAACAGTCAAACTGGCAAACAAACAAAAAGTCTCTTCTTGTGCAAAAGTTGAATTTTACTGTGACGATTATTGACTCACAGGAGCGTACATTCCCACTTCTGCACGATTATTGAGTTGAGTTAAAACCTCAGACATACTTGTTTTCACAGTTTCCAACTCCGGTGATGGCCAATCATGAGACATGTGACCAACATCATTCACACAGGACATTTCACGTCACATGATTTTACCATTCTTCTGGGACGGTGTCCACTCACCTCTGTCTGGTCATCTGTTCCTGTGCGGCGTTGAGCTGCAGCAGACTCAGCTGACTGAGAGCAGTCTGCAGCTGCTGCCTGCTGTTCTCCACCTGCTCCTGGAGCTGCATGTTGATGCTGCGGAGCTGCTGGTTCTGTTTCCTAAAGTTGGCCTGTTCACAGGTCAGCTGCCGGATCCTGGTCTCCAGCTTGAGACAAAGACAGGTCTCACTGACTCAGCGGTGAAACTTCCAGACTGTTCCAACATAAAACACACGTGTTGACTGACAGTTTACCTCCTTCTGTTTGGACAGTGTCGTCTCCAGCTCTTGCTCTCGCAGCTTGAGTTCCTCTTCTAGTTTTTGTCCTCGCTGCATTTTTCTGATGCTGTCCTTGATTTGAGAAGAAACACAAACACTTGTTTCGTCAAGGGACACAGGTCATGGAATACATTTCCAAACATTGAGTATTAACTGTGTACTTGGGCATGCTGTTTCTGTTTCTCCTCTCTGAGTTGACTCTCCATGTCTTCATATATAGAACGGACCACCTGATCGTGTTCATTCTCTCGCCTGAAACAGGAAGGAATGAACATTGTCGAACTCACACTCACAGCAATAGAACGTTCAATTTCTATTGTATTTTCATTCGGAGAATTCACACAGAGGAAGCCCACACCTGCACAAAGCCTGTTCCAGACTGTCTCTCTCTCTGATGGCATCCTGTAAACGGGACACTGTGTGGACCAGGACCCCCTCCAGGACACTCAACAGCTCTGGTCTGTCTCTTTGGAGCTCACACCAAAGAGAGCAGACGTCCTGTTGACTGACAAACAGCACAACAGAGCAGGTAAATAAAAACCTTGAACTCGCTTGAAAGTAAACAATACTGTCCAGCAGGACACAGTATGAAAGGGGAAAAAAGAATATAAATATTTTTTATGGTCAGTATAATAATACAACAATGATATATAAGTAACATTTTCTAAGGCTTTTACATACAATAAAGATTGTTGACGGTTAATAACCGAAAGTACATTCTTACTTTTCGAGGAGTTTGTCCGCCCCCAGCTCTATCAGTAGGTCTACAAATCCAGCCGCAGCAGCGTCCTGAGACCACTCCACTTTGTCTGTGGCCTCCTCAGCCTCCTCCTGACTCAGCTCTGTAGAGTCTTCAAGTCCCACCAACTCACCTGCACACAGGCAACCATTACACCTGCGTGTGAAAGATGAACAACAAACAGGATTTTGAGCCATCGCAGCCGTAGTCCAAGGTTGTACTCACCCAGCACGGTGTTAAACTCCAGAGGAGTAAGAAACCCGTTGCTCTCTCTGTCCATACTGTCAAACACGGCCTCCAGCTGTTCCGGGGACAGCGGCAGCTCCATCTGTAGCCTCTGACAGGAAGAAACAAACACACAGTCTGTAGATGAAAAGATGAATATTCACAATTCTACAACTTAGAACACTTACCTGCATATCTCGCTTTGTGATGAAGCCTTTCCCCTCTTTGTCACACAGCAGAAAGAGTTCCCTGGCTTTGCCCATTGTCACCCCTGGTGGACTTCTTGACACTGAGTCTTTGAATGAACTCAGTGAACTGTGGCTGCGACTCGGCCTGGGGCTTCCAGGAGGCAGGCTGAAAAGTCTGGGACTCATCGATGAGGCCTCGCCACTGCCTTGACCCACCAGCACTTCATCATCATCCAACCACTTAGACATCGCTGCACAAAGGATCAGCATTATGAAATTGAAGTGTTTTTTAATGTATATTTTGATAATAATACAAACACTGTTGGAGACTCTACAAGACATCAAGAGTTCATAAATGCAGACTTCACTTTCATAATGAAAATGTTAAGATAAAACCTGTCAGTCAGTACATTTAAAAACCTCAATAAAACAGGTGTTTGTTTTTCTTCTCATTTTCCAAAAAATATTTATTATTTATTGAAAGCAAGTTTTTTTCAGTATTTGGTTCTGTTGCCATACATAGTTCTGAGAAAATTTGGCATTAGCCACAGTATACACGACATAGACAAACAAAAACCAGAAATCAATTTTTAACTTTACTTGTATTTACATCAGCTCCCGGTCTTCTCTCAACTGCTTCAGAATGTCAGGAGAAACAGGAACTGCAGGTCCTCCCTAGTCAAACACATAGTGAAGAGCAAACTGAGTTGTGTCTGTGCACATGATCTCCAGCTGCTGTGAGCAGCTGCTGGACTAAAGTGTCTGTAGACATTAATGACTGATGACTTTAATGACTGACTTGGTAAATATGACACAAATCTATTTGTCATTATCTAAAGTTATGCAGTTTTTTTGTGCAAAATTATGACACAGACGCTGGGCTGGAGGCAACAGAGCCGACTGCCATCTCTGTGTATTTACATGAATATGCAGGACATTAAACTGATGTTGACTAATGAAATGCACCAAAGGGTTCCAGGATATGACTGGAACGAAGAAACAGGATGGAGTCAGGTGAGGAGTGTCCTCACCCTGTACAGGGTGGACCGGCTGGACAAAATGCAAATAAATGTTTGCACGTATTTGCATTTTCAGCCCTATCACAATTGCAAAACAAATGTTCACTCTCATTAACGATGGATAAAATATGTCAACAAGTCAACTATAGTACAGTGATTTATGACAAACAGACTGATAGCAATGAGCAGCTGACATAGTTGATGTGGTTATCTTAATTCACTCACTAGAAGAATTGTTTCTATTCCTCTGATATTTTACAGTATTTTATTTTGGCCAACTTTAAAGCCATAACGTCCTATATGTGTTTTAAATATCCATTGATATTTAATTCCACCCTGTCACCGTTGTACATGAATGGATGAATGGATGAACCTAAAAAAACAAAACAAACAAAAAAACAGACAGAGTCGCCCTTGATTTCGGAAGCCTTTGGCACTAACAAAGATAAGACATTAATGACTTAATTTAACTCCTGTCGTTAACATGATAATTTTGTAATTTTTTTGTATTTCGCTCCTATCTTCCAGTCCAATCCGAATCAGGCGTGGTTTCATGTAATAAAAACAATAGTTTGTTGTTTTTTTATGTATAAAAAAACCTATGTGGTATCTAAGAAAACATAATTTATTTATATGTGAAGACGACAAAAAGTCCATAAAACAGGTCAAGTATACCGCAGTTGATTTGTGTAACCTTCAAAACGTCACCGTCACTGATACGGAGCTTTTTAAGATAAGAGTCTTGTGTAAACATTACATGTTAAGAATTTTACGTGCTCAACTACATTTCACTTTCTCCAGAAGCCACGTCACAGGTACAAAAACGTCAACACCACACCAAACCAAGATTACTGACGTTATATTAATAAAACAGCGTTAATAAAATAAATAATAAACTGTTATTAACACGTTCTGTGACACGGGCTACACTTTACGACTTCAGTAGTCTGCTTCTTAAAGCGAATTTTGTAACTTGAAAGTTAAACCGAGTGAAATACTTCTTCAGTTTTTGGTCAAACTTTTTTGGTCATTTTACAAACCTAATCTAACGTTTGCAAAATGACCAAACGTTGACCGAAAACCCAAAAATAAGACAAACTGCAACCATTTCGGGACTAATGTCGCAAATGCGAGCTCAACCAACTGACCCAAACATAACAAACTTACAGAACAACTTTACGTTTACTCACGTCTGTGTTGTCTGTCAGTCTGGTGAAGTGTGAGCCACAGACACACCGGTGACTGGCAGGTGTCCCCCACAGGCTACTGCACCTTTGCTCACCTCAGTCATTCCCTCAAACTCAGGCTGCAGTCGCTAGGTGGCAGTCATCGACGACATTTAATAAAAAAGAGTAATGACAGTCCGAGCCCCTAGATGGCAGTAATGCAGTTATAAGTACTCAAAGAAGAAGAACGTTGTTACGAATTTGTCGTAATGGTTAGTGTAATCATACCAGAAATAATCTGCAACACTCTCTTGCAGTCAGTGGTTTTATATGAATATATATTTTTTAAAACAAATGTTTTAATCCAGTGTCTTTATATAAATTAAGAATTAATATTATATCTAATATGTACAATTCGATGCTAACATTTTGACAAATAAGTGAATGTACAAGGCCAGTTATTACGGTAAAATCTGCGTTGCCATGGATATTGCGGAAATACACACGTTAGCGGAATCTATGGCGGCTGTGAATGTTTTGGTGTGTGACTTATTGTTTGGCTAAAAGTGAGAATACGATCTATTTATTGTTTGTATTCAGCAACGAAGTCGGCTTTTTTCTTTAAACATATCGGGTAAGTATCTCCGAAGAAAGCTTACATAACAACGTATAGATTGTTAGCGTGTCGAAAAAAGAAACTTTTAGCGTTAATATGGTGTTGTTGTAGAGAGCAAACACCGTTCGACTTATTGTGCTCAAAGGGCTGTATGTATTGGCTTTTATTCTTAAAAGCGGATGTTAGTTAACCGTATCGAATCGCCCAGAAAGTAAACCAGAGTATATTCAAAAGAAATCAAAGGCTATCTTACGGGGTTTATTTTGAATACCAGATGTCGAATGTTTATCGGCTCACTTTGGACTGGTTCAGGTCATTTACCTTAACGCTTACAATACGTGCTCACTTGACATTAAGTTGTTTTGACGACGTGAAAAATAAACGTAACGGTTTGTAGACACCATTGTTCACTAAAAATAAATTGTTATTTGTATCACTTCTACAACCAGAGCAGCAACAAGTGCAACTACAGGTAAAATAAAAGACATTTTCCCAACAACAACCGTCCAAACACCAACTGCCCTCGTTTACCGCTAATTTGGAGCAATGACAACCAGTTGCATCACACGCTTAACGACAGTAAATAAAGAGAAATTATAGTGACCCTTCTGTTCTGAATGAATTATTTTTTTTCGTTTTCTATTAAAAACCAATGCCACCTCTCTTTTTTGCCATTGCAGATAAGAATCTCCACAGCAAGGATGCCAACATGCGACATTTGACAAAACACAATTCATCTGATGTCTTGGACTGTCTGCATCATATGAGAGAGGATCCTGATGGAACATGTTGTGCGAAAAGAATAAGAGATACTGTACACTCAGGAACAAGCACCATTTTCTGCCCATGTAAAAGGACAAGTCGTTAAGTCAGAAGTCCTGGTTTCTGCACAGGAGATTGTGTAACAACCAGATTAACGAGTCGCCATCAAGTCAATCCGTGAGAATCAAGTTGAGTCGCCATCAAGTCAATCCGTGAGAAAAATAAGGCAGAAGAAAGGAGGAGAGAAGAGTGCGGATCTTAGTTTCAACAACTGAAGATGCTCCAGACCAGTAACTACTCACTGGTGCTGCTGATCCAGCTCACATTGTTGACCTATGACCTCTTGGTCAACTCCTTCAGTGAACTCACAAGAGAGACACCTGTCATTCAACTAGTGCTTTTTATGTAAGTCAGTAACCAGTATTATTCATATGATCCTCATATCATATTGTAGCTGCATGTATTACGTATATCGGCCTCAATTGCATTTATTTTTCAGTGTTTTGCTAGTTAACAAAATAATTAAATGCACATTGAGTATTTGTTTTGATACATATTTTACTCAAATGTAAAACTTTTTCCTCGCCTGCTCATTTTGACTTTTTTTTCAACGTCATGAAAATTAAATATATGTTTTACTTCCACAGAATCCAAGACATTGCAATCTTGTTCAATGTGATCATCATCCTGCTGATGATGTTCAACACCTACGTGTTCCAGGTGGGCCTGGTTTCTCTGCTGCTGGCACGATTCAGGGCAATGCTCTTTTTCTCTGCCGTTTACCTGACACTCAGCATCTGCCTGCACTCCTGGGTGTTGGTACGTTTAATCACACAGAAACAGCACAACAAAACAAATTTCCATCCTGCTCCTTTGAAACCATTACATAACTTATTTTTACGAAAAATACTGTGTAACTAAAAGGAATTCTCTGCCTGATACAAATTTCTATTCTCCAAGAATCTCCGATGGCTTGATTCAAACCAGTTCATTTGGACAGATGGTCTTTTGGCTCTTTTTGTTTTCCAGAGAATCGGTGAGTGGCACATTGACTCACCATTGCCATCAAATGTAATATGTTCTGTGATGTGCATCATCACCAGGTTTTCTCTTTTGTTTTCTCCCAAACAGCTGCAGTACTGTATTACTACTTGTACAAACGGACAGCGGAGTATATGGGAGACCCCAGACTGTACGAGGACTCCATTTGGCTGCGTGACGCTTTTGCCAAAGCCCGTCAGTAAAGAAAGGACAGTTCTTTGGTCATACACCAGCATTGTCACATGCTTTACTATATCATGGAGCAGCATGTTCTTAAAGAGCTCTGACACTAACACAGTGCAATGACAGACTGTTAAATGCTCGTAAAATTACTCCTGGTAAGGACGATGAAGCCCAAGGTCGGTCTGTGTACAACTGGCTCTTGTGGCTAACTTGGCAGCTACTTGAATGGTGAATGCTTCATACGTGTTTTATTAAGTTACCCAGGAATGTGTCTGTCAATCAATGTGGCCTTTGAAAATCAATTTGTTGATTCCCAAATGATTAGAGCAATTTGTTTTATTTCCCACAATAGTAATCGTTTCATTGTTTTGCCTTCCAAAGACAAGTGTTGTTTACTTTACATTATTGCGATCCCTGCTCGTGTGAACTGAGCTGGGATACTTCAATTGTATTCCCTTTGTTGTTAATTAAACAGTGCCTCTTTAAGCCTGGTGTTATCCTTTACTCATGGAGGTCATTATTATCCTGCAGACAAGGTGACCAGACAGCTCTATTTATAAACCTAGGATTAATCCAGGATTGAGGTTTTAGGAGTCTCTGGTGAAACAAACTATAAATAGCATGGCCTCTCAGGGTCATCAGAAGGTACCAGGTCATTTATGATTAGAAAAACAGTTTCAAAAATTAAAAACAATGTTTTTGGTTTTTATTAAAAGATGATGTTGAATTATCAAGGAAGTAATTTTTATTTATGGGCAATTGGACACAATAATAATAAAAAAATATTAAAAATGATTAGGTGAAAGTCAAATAATATAACGTATTATAAAATTAATTGTTGCCCTATAAGCCCTACATCTCAGAGGTCAGGAAAAACACAAGTTTTTTTTTTTTTTTAAACAAATCACCTTTACTTGTGGCTGAAAAAACAGACCCCTTTCACATGATCCCGAAATATTGTCAGTGCAGTCCACTTGAAATCCAGACTCCAGTTTGTCTTGTGTCTCATGTCCTTTGTTACACCGGAATGTGTCAAATTCTTTTAAGTCAATCACTGGAACCTGCAGACAAATGAGAGAAAATATTTAAAATATATAAACAGTTTCATTCATTAAAATGAAAAACAGATAAGAATGTAATCATATAAATTTACCTTCATACATAAATGCCAACCCAAAGTAACAAGAACAATACACCGAAACCCATGAAAAGTGAAGCCACAAGGGAGATCAGCAGTTCTTTGTATACATCCCTGGTGTATTTTGTTGATGTTACCTCATAGCTGACAAAAAAGTTAGGGAAAATGCATACAAAGTCTTTTATAGAAAACTGCTATGTACTGCTGGTCAATCTGTCCTCAATGGACATTTATGTAAGTCACTATTAATGCAAACAATCTGAATTTCAATTGAATTCAATTACAAAAAATATACATTTCTATTTCCTGGCTAACACTTCTTCAACAGCTGCACCCTCTATGGGATTACTGAACAGTCATAAGTCAAAATCTTGGGTTATTGAGTCACTTGTTCATTGGCCATGATTTTTGATTTCTTTGTATAATATTCAATGAACTACTTCACTGTTAAGCATAGTTACATTTTCAATAATTGTGGAGCTGGGACTATGGGAATATAAACATGCGCTCTCTTTGCACTCACTTTATGTTCAACAGAATCAAGGATTTATAACCATGACTAATTAATAACCACATATAACATGAACTTTTATTTGATTCTGCAACCAAGCTTTAACTTTTGCCAAGAATGCTCTTGATTCAACAATGCTGGAGATCGACCTTAATATGTGACACATTTAAGAACACACGCGTTCAACCGAAAATGTAGCAGTGAAAGGATACACGAAGAACCAGGCAGTGAAGAACATGCCGATGGCCAGTAGAACCACGGTAAGGTGCGGAAACACAGCCGGGTTCACCGGGCTGGTGTATCTGGTCATGGCTTCAAGCTCCTGTAGACATAGCGGAGACAAGAGGAAACAGATATAAGTACGGGATATTTAAACGGGTGGTACCACAGTCACATTACAGTAAACTATAATTCCCAAACTGTAAACGTCATTACATACAGCAAAATGAATGCCTGTTCCCTCGTTTAGTTTCAAAAAAACCAACTGAATGGACTCTCAATAACCCTCATACTAGCCACCAGTGCTAGTCTGTAGCGTATGGTTTTGCAGCAACACAAAACGTTGGTACATACAACAATGCGCCATAACTTGCTTAAAATATTGAACAACACAGGTGAACGTATAAATAATGCCCGTACATTGATGCTATATTCGTATAGAATCAAAAAATAATTCGCCTCACCATTTCTTCTGGATGTGCAGCTCCTGTCTACTTTCTGACCAACATGAAAAGGCCACGTACTGATTCTTTCTTCCTTGTTACGTCATGACGTACGATTTACGTCTTTAACGTGGGCATTTACTACCCACTAAAATGGTGTCAGGTAAACTGCTCAAGCGTTTGAATCGATTTTTTAAAGGAAATATGTATATAAAATAGCACGTCATTTTGGTTAATTTGCGTAGTACCATCATTACATTTCCCAAAACGTAGTGTAACTGAACAGAACGCATCAGTCTTTTTTAATATATAGTAGCAGAAGGTTATAATAACGATTCTAATTTAGGCCAACCATCAGTGGTAGCAACGACTTTACCTGTTATTAAGATACTTATTTACACAAACAACCTATTTATGGAACTTAAACTGAATATACATCTACGCCGATTACTCCTGTTTCTACTTCTTCTAATTCTATTTTCCTGACAGAAAAATGCAGGGCTTACAATACCAGTCACTAAATAAACGCTGTGTAGAAAGAGTTCGACTGCCATCTAACGGACACAGTTGGTATTTAATGTTTAAGGAAGCAGGTGAAGCAATAAAAGCAGCAAGATTTCAACCACAAATCAGACTATTATATATTTTTTATTTTGGGCAAATGCAATGAAAACATAATAATACAGTTGACTTAACATGTAGTGGTGTTAAAATGCGGCCCAAGTTAAGTTTTTATGGCATTTTTTATATGTCAAATTGTGGTAGTATTAGAAGTGCTTGTGTGTTTTATTTTCATCAACCATTTCTGGCAACAGCTTAAAGTGGATGTATGATGGAAAACAACAACAACAACCAAAAATATAAAATAACATCACAAAATACATGCCAGAAAAATAAGCACTGGTTGTTACACAATTAAGCCGTAGTATTACATACACATTACATGAACAATGATGCATACTGGGCAAAACAGAAAAAGTTCATTGTGTATATACAGTGCAAAGGTGCTGCAGTGGTTTCATTATACTGGCTGGTGCATTATAAATAAGCTCAAACAGTACTTTACCCATAGACGTCATATAACTACACCAAAAATGTATTTATAGCATGAATACTGCATTCCATTCATATGCTGTTTAGATAGTGGCGGTTCTTCTACCAAGAAATTTAAAATACACTCTTTGTTTTTTCTTTACTTCCAATAGAAATAATATCCATTTTGAAACCAAATTTTGGCAAAAAGCAACAAAAGCTTGTTGATACGGGTGGATATGGAATTATATTAAAACAAGATATAATAAAAACAAATGAGGAAAACTCACATATATGGACACTACAATATTAAAAATGTACAGGCACTTGAAAGTATTCAGACTCAAAAATATGGAAGTCCAGTGTATCTGAATTTGTCTTTGCAGTGTATGTAGTTAAACAGAGATGATTTAACTTGGGCGGAGAAACAAGTGAACACGCACCTAAATGGACCCAATGTGTTGTTTTATTACAGTTAGACAAAGCAACACAAGCAATTCCAGTGTTTTGAAATATTGTCAGTGTTGAACTTGTTACAGTTTAATAATTAGATGCAGAGAGACGTCAGTGTTTCTACATGTTAATTTCCAGTGATTCTTTTTCTTTTCCAGTCTTAACACAAGTAATCCAGTGGATTTGTTAAGGGAGGGGGTTAATGTAAACCTATTTTAAGGTCACAAGAGCAACTTTTTTGTTAAAATCTTATTGGAAATTGGAAGAACTTTCTGCATACAGTAACTTGCCCTCAGTATGGTGGTTTACAATGCTCCACTGTACAGACCCCAGGTTGGCCAGTGTTCACTACTGAGGTGTACTCTATGGGGGTGGCAACTATTTACTAACAAGGTGTCAGTAATCTCAACTCCAGTGTATGAAATTATTACTATCTCTCATACTGTTTTGTTTAGTTTTGTTCTCAGTTAAGAAGTTCCAGTGTACTAACAAACTAATGATGACTAATGAAAAAACAAAACATGGCTTCGACCATTGCCTGTTTTCAAAAATATAAAATCCGCAAAAAAAAGAAAGAAAAGAAGAATGGCTGGTGTTAAGTGTCCAGGACACAACCATAAGAACTGAAGTGCTTTCAACCACAGGAATTTTACTTTGAAAAAAGCCATGAACTCTGACAATAAAAACAATTGTCAATAATGATGATGCAAAACATTTTCAGGAACTGAAATAAAAAAAACAAATTTAAATAGAGTTTAAAAATCAAGGTTCAATTTTCCAACGCACTTTAACTTGGAGTGGGTTATTGTGGGGACAGTGGATTATAGTTTGTTCTCAGTTTAATCTCTTTAAAACTATGTACAAGATGAGACCAAGAAAAAAAAGTTGTGCACATTTTCATCACAACTATGTGTAGATATGTTTACTCCGAGGAGCTTCTGTAGTGTTTCTAAGGCACTTGAATGCATCATCTTCCTCCTTATACACAACTGCTTTGGATGAGAAAATGGTAGTCAGAGTACGAGGTTTCTTCTTCGCTGCCACAGCTCATTTCCCCCTATCAGAAAAAAAAAGTTGATCTTTAGGAACAAGTTTCACCCAATAGCTGTATGTTACTAACCAAAGAAATAAAGGAAATATCCCGTCTTACCGACAAGGAAACCCGGAAATGATAAGTCACGTCCTGTGAGGAGAGCACAGGCACTGACCACAGGTGACGAGTCCCCTTTGAGAAAAGTAAAGCATTTTAAAAGATAATAATTTAGTTTGGTATATTTGAATTTTGTATGTCTGGATTACATGACACACATGTTTCCGGTAATCAAACAAACACTGGGTAGAACCAGTATTTTCCACATACCTTTGTTGATGTTTTCAGATCACCTAAATATTCTGCCTCTGTGTGGTTAGGGCATAAGCGCCCCCTTTTGGCTCCACATTGCTGTACCCACACATTATTTGATGACCTGAAATCAGTTGACATTCTGTTATTACAAAGCAAAAGGCCTATGTTTACTTACTAAAATCA